CGATCATCAGATATTGTCCAAGATTAACCTTCAGGGTGGATATAGCTCGCTATAGCAGCATCACATCGAGGACCTATCCACATCATCATTTACCCAGAATGCTTTGCATGTAAATAAAATGGCCCCGTCCATATAATATATTTTTTAACTTTTAGTTTAAAAATTATAAAAACTAAACAGCCTACAAAATTTTTATAGTCTTTATTTTACAGTTAAAATATATGTTTATCAAATAAAGTCGAATGTTACAACTAATCATGGATCCCTTTAAGGGCTCGAATTGAATGTTTTTGTCACAAACCAACAAACCAAAGAAAAGTTAAGCTCGTGCAGGATTCTTAAATATAAGTGTCTGTAGTTTAAAAGAAAAAACTGTTYCAGCTCCTGAGTTGAGAAAAGTTAATGAATGATTTAGTTTTCTGCCTTGAACACAGCAACTTCTGATCTTTTATCGGTCATGCCAAATGTAATCTCAGTATCTATAAAACTGATCRAGGTATAGCCATGTTGGCTAAGGCTGATTAGTAGTGGCGACGGCTAACTTTAACTGTGTCGAGTCCAAAAAGTTAAACAGTTTYAGATCTTTCCATCGCCATCTTCTACTGCTAATCTGTGGTCAGGTCGCAGAGACCACAGGTCCAGGTCATATGGAACCCCCAAGGCTTTTCCATACCAGAGAGGTCATATCCCTCCAGCAAGTCCTGGGTGGGTTTGCCCTGCCCTGCCCCTGTGTTGATAAATGAACTTTTAGACTCACAATACAAAAAGTCTTATTGTGAAATTTACTTTTTTATTTTTAATGACAGAGCAAAGCAAAAGACTGAACAAGGGTGRCTGTATGTTTCTAACCCTCCATTAAACTTGGGGTTTTTTTTAGACCCAGTTTTTTTGTCTTGATCTTTACTTTAGCTTCATTCAGAGCAAGTCCACCTCCTTACTGTCCGACTTTATTACCAGGTCCGTTTACACGACTCAACGAATGAGATTCGTCACGCTGCCATGCCTCAGTGTTGAAGGCGAGGGGCGTGTGTGTGTGTGTGTGTGTGTGTGTGTGTGTGTGTGTGTGTGT